ATAAAATAAAGTAAGAATATTTTCAAGAAATATAAATTAAGATGGGATAAGTTGTTGTGTTTCAAGATAGTCAACTCAGAGTTTTAGCTAGATTGGTAGACTTTTGTATACTTTTCCTACAAAACACCAAGATGCCAGTAAAAAGTGAAAAAGGATAGCAGTAGGTAAGACAAGACACTTGTGATGTGTCTTGCAGATTCATGGCATCTATGAAGTCTCTCTACTTTCAATCTAAATTCTCCAAATCCATGTTCTCCACATCCCCATCACTTCCTTCTGTTTTCATTTCTACACCTACTCTTGACCATGAAAGCTTCAAGAAATTTTTTGGCAGAATGCCAATGTTCAGAAATTACAATGTGAGCAGGAGGATGTATTCAACCACAGCAACTTTGCACCATCCTTCCTATCAAAGTAGCATATCTGGTTTCAGGTGGTGGTGCAGATAATGGTAAACTAGGAAGGAAAGTAGGAGAGAATAATTTCAGAAATTCGATAGAAGAAATATTCTTGTGATTCTCTACTTTCTCACATAAACTCTGGATAATTTTTTTTCTCGGTTCTCTCTGAATCTACTTTAAAAGATCTTACAAGCATCGAAAGTACCTTTATCTATATTTATAACAATAAATTATAGTTCATTAACGACGATTCTTGCTAGTTTGAATCTAAGCCCGGAAGGAAAGGCAAAAGACATGACACAAGCTAGAGAGTCTCACTACAGTTTGCAGACCACTGGTTGTGTCTTTTTGTTGGTGAGATCCTGAGGAAACTCCAAATGATCACCTTCTTTGGTATCTAGAGACAGAAGACATTGCATCATATCCATTCCAAGGATGTGCAGACCGAAAAGGATACATTATCATTCACACCATATCTACACTGATATCTAACAGCTGCCATGATGATCCACATGCAGGCTCAGTACAAGTAACAATGTGCACGCAGTACCCACAAGCTGAACTCCCTCTCTTGAAGACTGGCCTCTTCCTATCGGAAAGTTTGGCAAGTAATCAATTGCGACTTTGATGGCTGAAACATAGTACGCACAAAAAGCAGAGGTTAGTGCCAGGTTTCTTATCATAAGCACCACGGGTTCCCTTTTCTATTGCTTCTACGGACGAGGGGAGGGTCCTCCTCACTTGGGAGAGCTTAAAAGTATCATCCTTGATGCTCAAAGGGGACTGAGGTGACGGGATTGAGGTCCATATAATTACACTAGTTTAGCTCACCACAAGGAGGAGTGTACCTTCTTCAGTGCATTCAAACTGGGATATGCTTCGAAGACCAGAGAGATCCAGCTGTCGTCTGATGGTCTTCGTTCACCTGTCCCCAAACAATTGGCTTGGAACAGCCAAAGTTCTACGCACGACATTTTCCTCCTGCTTGATGTTGGAAAGCGTGTCTGTAGAATATGGACAATTAATGTTCTTGTTGTATGTTCCATGAACGCTTCACCCTCTTTGGAAAACTCTTGACATGAATAGGACATCCTTCTGTTCTTCCTAAAACATGTACAACTTACTAAACTACTGCAGCACTAGTGAGGCAAAACAAAAGAGGACACCTGACTGTGCGCCTGCTTTCTCCTACCACTAAACAACCAAGCTCCGGTTGTAATCGCTACTGCCAAAGCTTAGATTAATCGCAGGTAGGAATGTGGTAATGGCATCAAGGCATTAACTTGTGATGTGTTTGGCCTCTTCTTTCATTGTTAAACTTGCA